AGAGGGGAAATGGGAGGATGGGAGAGAGGAGGACCCACTCCTCCATGGGAGAGAGTTGTCAAAAGGGGGGAAGAAAAAAAAAAAAAAAAAAAAAAACGAGAAAACGAGATCAAAATTTTTGAAAATCTGTACTTTTTGGTTTGCGCCAATATTTTTTTGGTGGCGTTAAAAAAAATTGTCGGCCTTGAAATGTTTTCTGCAGGTAGCCAGGCACCTAGGCCATGCGCTTGATTTTTATTTTTTTTTTATTGGGTGAATGTGTTTTCAAAAACCATCAAAGTTAAAGAATGTTTTGCACCCCGCTTTGAGCCTATCGGGATTTGAACTGATAAATTTTCACGAGTTCTTTCCCTACCTCTCCCAACCTGCAATTGCCCTCCCCGTTTTCAGGGGAGTGCAGAGGACAAGGAGGGAGCGCTGTTGGTTTCAACAACGTGCACCTGACTGAAGTAAAGGTCGAGTGCATTGTAGTTATAGTTAGTTTTATTTTCATTTTTAGCTTGTCTATTTTTCCTTATTTTTTTGCATTCTCGTGATGACACTTGTCTTCACGAGGTGTTACCTCTAGTAGAAGCTGCCAGAGATAACTGTGAGGCTCCCGTTTTTGGAGGGAGTCTGAAAATTGAGGGGTCATAAAGGAAAAGGTTAAGTACAACCTTTTCCCCAATGTATCTGCCCTGGAAAAAGGGTTGAGGTACATCAAACTGAAAGAGACAACCCCTTATCAGAAAAATAAAAGAAACTTAGAAAAGCAGATTTGGAAATGGCAAAAGCTCAGCTATCTCGTGAAATTCCAAAATAGTTGAGATAAAGAAAATAAAAATAAAAATGAGGTAGTTGAGGGAACTGCCCCCACTAAGGCTGTGGTTGTGGTGCGGCCACAGTTAGCCCTGGATCTTGATCAGATCAAGGGCTCACTGTGAGCTCGTGATTTTGCTTGGGGGCTGGAGTGACGACCAACACTCCTCAACCACTATAAAAAGGGCAGTTGTCCCCAGTTGCCACACAGAAGCACTTGTGTTGCCAGTGTGCAACAACACACTTGAGTGTCGTCGAACTGTTGGAGGTGCTGCTGGAGGCAGCGCTGGAGGAGGTTGGAGGACTGCAGAAGAGTGTCGAACGAGGAGGATGATAGTCATAACCGAGGCAGGGAGCACTCTGCTTCATCCTTAGGCTGTTGCTGGGCCTTTGGAGTAGTTATTGGGACCGCCCCGCTGCACCGAGACTATGCGGCAGGAGTTGTTCTTTGGGCCTGAATTTTCTTCAGGTTCAAAGCTTTATTAATTTGACGGCGAGACTTCCTCTGCAATGGCAGGCTTCAAGGTGGCGCAGGTGGAGGTATCAACGGAACTGGATCACGACAGGCTGCTTCCCCACTTTTGTGGGGGTATGCTGCCGATTTTTTCGGCATCGACGGCGGTTGTTTTTACAGTGTTATGCTGTGGAATTTGCGGCGCGTCCGATGACACTGAATAAAGGGGAGGTGCTATCCACTTTGCGGCATAACGAGGTGCGGTCCGTTTTGCGGCAGGACAAGGTGCTGTCCATTTTGCGGTATGGCGGAATTGACGTTCCCGTGGGAATATGCTGCCGATTTTTCCCGGCGTCAACGGCAGTAATTTTTACGGCGTTATGCTGATGAAATTGGGGTTCGTAAGGCGGCACTAAGAGGAGAGAATGTGCTGGTTTTCTTTTGGTGCGTCGAGTGACAAGTTGTCAATGTCGGTGAAGGGGTAAATTGCAGTGACACTGTTGTGGCGGTACGGCGAACGATATTAGTAGTAGTGGCGATAGTCTCTGTGTTGGACCATGCCTATCAAGGTGCAACGATACGTCAATTTATTTATTTATTGCACACATCGGCGGCGGTGGGGTTATTTGACCCTGACCTAGTGGACTTAGGGACCAACGGAGCGCGTGAGCGGGATTGATAATGCCGGCAAAGTGGAAACTTGAGTGTTCTATTTTCTTTTGAGAAGTGTGGTGGAGACTATTTTGGCGAGTGACATCATCAGATGTTGGAAAGCAATAGTGCGGGAGGACTTGGGACCATCTCGGATCAATTGGGACCACTTGGGACCATCGAGGGCCAGGTGGGACATGAGAGGGCGGCGCAGTGACCATTGGGAGCATGTGGCACTTGCGATTTTGACACCAGCGAGTGTTATTATGAATTTGTTAGAGCGTGGTGAGCGCGGTTTCGGCAGTTGGGACCATCTGAATGATTCGATGCTATAGGCGGTAGTGCGGGACCACTTGGGACCGCCTGGGATCAGTTGGGACCGACACGGGACGCCGTGGATTTTTTTGGGACAAGTGTTGCTCGCCATCTTCACACTTGGGATTGCCGCGAGTGGGACTTGCGAGTCAAGAGTAAACTGAGACTAGCGGTTGACCCAAGACTTACCTCGGGACTGCGGTTTCTTCGGCGACAAGTATATTTTACTTGGCTTTCTTGGCTGAGCCTGGACATGTTCGGCACCACTTCACTCAAGGCCAGTCAGTTGATCGACTCAGATTCCTTTCACACTTGTGTGAACCCACGCTTTGTTTGACCCTGTTCGTTTTGAATATTCGAAAAAAAAACTAGAGGAAAGTCGTGCAAGTCATGCATGTGAATGGAAAAATCTGACTTGAGTATGAAATTGTACCGGTTTCCTCTTTGAACTTATTGTCTTTGCGTGCTGTGCAGATAGGTAGAGGGATGCTTGCAAAGGAGAATGGTTAATGACTTATGGAGATGAGGAAAAATATTGTTTTGTTTGTATCTTTCGTTTGCTTGCTTGTTAAAAGAATTTGTTGTTCTGAAAAAGAGTAATCAAGTGCATGTTGTAAAATGAATTCGATTGAAATAAAGCAGATAAGGTCAAATGGACTTAACATTTTCCTGAGTTTTACCCGTTCTATCTTGAATGACCTTATCTGCCTATACCTGTTCAAATGATTCTCATTCTTTATCTCCTCTGTCTTCTTTTCGTCCGAGTTATCGTGAACTCCGGAGAGCTAACAATAATTGAAAGCTACTTGCAATGGATACATCCTATCTCTCAAGGAAGCGTATGGGGCTGTGGTTCGTTGCTTTAGTTGTCGACCCTGTCATCAACCCAGAGTGGACCGTTCTTAAGGGGGGTACTTCGCCGATTCGGTGAAGACGACCCGACTTCTGAGATCCGAGTCTTGTGCTCATGCGAGGAGGAGGAGTACCCCAGACCACTTCCTAGAGCGAGAGGCATGCAACACTTCAAGCAATGCATCTGATCAAGAATCATCCGCAAAGCAGCCTGTCATTCGAAAAGATTAGGAACGTATGAAGACGAGTGTGTGCGTGCCTAATCTTAGGTCATCGATAAGATGAAATGAATGACTTTGGCATCGTATCTCGTGATCAAGTCAAAACTAGGGCAGTACGACTACCATATCAGTTACATCTATGTTATTTAATTGTCAAAAGTCAACTGCTCGTTGGCGGTTGTATGATTTTTGTGGAGTTCGACCCAGGGTGGTCAGATTTTATTTTGATCATGTGTTATTGGATGTATCTAATGATAATTTTGATTCTTTCGAGTATGGTCGATTCCTTTTAGTGTAATTATGCGTGATGGTTATTGTATTTTTTTTTTTTTTTTACCGGTGTCGAAAGAGACTAGGATACTGTGGGTTTCAAGCTTGGTTGAAATCGTCTTAGTCGACCGTCCACTTCGTACTTAGGATATCAGCGCCCTAAGGAACGGATGACGTACAAATTCAATAAGTGTTTTAACCGCGCGTACCTATACTAAAGCGAGCGAGCAAACGCCCTCGGCTGACCTACCTCTGCAATTGCATGTAAAAATTTTTGCACGTGGGTCAGTAGCTCAGTAGGGATACGCCCTAAAGATGATGAGAGCCCCTTAGGGAAAGCATATGCCCCGCGGGAACCTATCCTGTCGTAGGGGACCGTAGGATGTACTGCTGGAGCACCCGACTAGAGCGACAACGAAACGATGCTACCACGACTGCCTCAACAGTTCGCGGGGTTGTTAAATGTCGTACCCGAGTTATCTCTCATTTGGTTTGTGTTAAATCCTCCGTGACATGGCCAGGAGGGCTCCGACCTTTGCAAAAAAAGGCGGCAGTCGATGCGCTTGACAGCGCAATCCTGAAATCGGATCAGAAAATATTAATCTACTGCTTTCATCTTTTCAACATCATATGCCTTATCTCATGGTCAATCTAGTAGGCAAAAAGGGAGAAGGACAACATTATATATATATATATAGCCTCCTCATGAGTCGGTGAAACTCCGACGAAACAGTTTGTCACAGCCCCTCGTTTGTTGTCCTCTTCTCCCTCTCTACCTACAGTTTACCGGGCAGTTCTATTTGACGATATATATATATATATATATATATATATATATACAGGGTGACCAGCCCGTACGTACGGAGGTCCCCGGGCAGATCTCCGTACGTATGGGCGTTCGGGGCCCCATACAGGGTCCAAACCCGACGGCGTTCGGCCCCCGCCAAAAAATATTTCGGGGCCTAAAAATAATCATTTTTTTCTCAATTGTTTTTTTTTTACTTCTCTATGACGTGAGGTACATACCTGTAATTTTTCAATTCATTTGGCCAAGCCAAATAAGAATTAAAAATCACCAAAGATGGCGGTGTCAAAACGTGTTCGCCCATGTATTCTTTTACTTTTTACTTTTTGTTTTCACTTCAGTTCGGGATCTAAACAATTTTATTATTTTTTGAAAATTTTTTAGTGGGTTTTGTATTATGTGAAGTAAACATCTGTAAATTTTCAGGGCATTTAGCTTTGCCAAAACAAAATGAAAAATCGCAAAGATGGCGGTGTCGAAAACATGCTCGCCCACTCACTACATTTACATCTCTTTTTATTTTTATTTATTTTTATTATTAGTATTTGTTTTCCGTATTTTATTTTTATTTCAAATTTAGTAAGGAAATCGGATGTAATGCTCAGGCAAATCTTATTAAGTTTATTTTTCGCCATAACATATCTTTTTTTCAGATTTTGTTTATTATCTTTTTTTTTTTTTTT